TTTCAACTTTTTGAGGAACCTCCATACTGTTTTCCAGAGTGGCTGCACCAGCTTGCATTCCCACCAACAGTGTAGGAGGGTTGCCCTTTCTCTGCATAATAAAAGGCATCCAAATCGGCAAAGAAGAAGTTTGTTCTCTGTTTAAGAGATGTTTGCCAGTTTGTATGCTCAACATCACTCATCATCAGGGAAATGCAAATCAAAACCACAATGAGATATCACCTCACACCTGTCAGAATGGATAAAATCAAAAAGACAAGAAATAATAAGTGTTGGTGAGGATATGGAGAAAAAGGAACCCTGGCGCACTGTTGATGGAAAGGTAAATTGATGCAGCCGCTGTGGAAAACAATATGGAGGACGGAACTTTGACACCACCTTCCTGAAGGAATACGTCCTGATTTCCTAGATCCCACTGCTCCACATGTGACATGACAGGGTTATGTGGCTTGTGAGTCCCCCACATCCCAGGCCCTGAGCTCCTTGAGGAGAATCCAAAGTATCTCACCAATCTTACTGAAATGAACTGAAAGCTGACTAAAACAATGTCCCAATGTGGCTTTCTTGTGACAGACCAGGTATTCCTCATGGCAAAACTGTTGGTGATTCAAGAGGAAAGTTGTAGCATGGTTTCCACATGTTGTTCTGGCTTTTTAAAGCTACCTAAAAGATCCAGTGTGAAGGTAAAAGGAAAATCAGATTTTACTCCTGGGTGGTAAACTGACACAAGCCTTCAAAATTAAGTGAAGTGAAGAAAAATCATTAGCTTTGTACACCTGATGACACATAAAGATGAGGGGATATATTCTGGAATATGAAGATATTATGTGTGAATTAAAACTATTAATTAAAGAGCACCTTCTGAATTATCATTTTATTATATCACATAGTCGTTATATATATGATCTTAGATCTAGAAGGACCTCAAGGACTTTTTAGTGAAACAGCCTCACTTACAGTTGAGAGAACAAAAACTAATCTAAAGTCGTCCAAGAGTGCACAACTCAATTTGTCCAGAGAGAAGGAACCTGGGCCTCCTGACACCACCTCTCCATCCCCCCCATTACCTACAGCATGTATCAGCTATTTTAAACAACCTCTTCTTCCCTAAGAATCCTCACTTTCTGGCCCACAGAGATGACAGTTAATGACCCTGGGGTTAGGGGCTCCTGTCCAAGTTGCAGCTGCAGTCTGTTGAGCTGCCGGCAGGGAGTCGGCGGAGTTTACCAACTTGCTTTTATCACAGTCATACTTGTGATTTGGATTACGTAATTTAATTAAATGTTACATAAAATAATGAGGCCTTTGTGTAAATGAGGAGACTACTTATTCCTGTGAAAACCAAATTCAGTGTTTTGGGAAAGGTTGTCAAAAGGAGAGTCAAACATCAATGCCAATTAGTTGCATGTTACGTAACTATAACTACGGGGGAATGACAGAAACACGTACAAGGAATGTGCATTCAGAACCATCACTTCCCTGGAAAATTCTATTCCCCTTTCAGAACAATCCTATACACACACAAAAGATTCAGCCTGGGCATAAGCTTATGAATTCTAGTCAGCAGGTCTGTATCAAAGCAGCAATGACAAAACCAGAACACAGACTTTGCAACCCACCCTCACTTGCTGCCCCAAAGCTCAAGTTACAGGACTTTATGTGCGCTCAAATGTGTGAAGTTAAAATACCTAAGATGTGCATATGCATTATTTTTATGATTCTCTGCTTTAGCCAATTCTTAAGCTGTCCTCATTATCTAAAATATGGAGTTTTTAATGTTCCAGGGCAGTATTTATTTTGTTGATTTACTGATATGCTCTACTTGTTTCCAGTTTTGACTGGAGTGGTTTAGAAACAAACTTAAAACCACACTTGCAAAATAACACAGAAAGGAGAAGAAGTAACAAGTAACAGGAGAGGGTAAAGAAATAACTGTATAAATCGTCAAATTTAAAGCCATGCCACCCTCCTTAGTGAAATCAGCTCCTGACAAACTGCAATCTACAGATTTGAAGATGGAGACTGTAAACACAACTCCAACTTATCTATTTTGTGCTCACGGTTGAATGAATCACCTGGCAGCCTAACAGGAAAGTAGGGTAGCTCGGCTTCCTGGCCTCCCCACACCCACTCATGCTGGTCAGTCCTGCTGTCCTCATGCAGAGGCCACGCACCAGGCTGCACAAAGTTCCCGCAGTTCAAAAATTCCCCAAAGCAAGGATAAAGACTCCTTGTTGCGGTTTCAGAAGACACAGTGTTAACATTCCAAATGCCTGAAAGGAGCACACAGAAAGCCAGGCATGTGAACACTCAATGTGCAGTGTATGGGCCACTATCCATCCCGGAGGCCAGTCACGCCTCGCACTGGCCACTGGGAGGACGTGTCCTGCAGCGGACGGTCCGCATCCATGTTCCAGCTTAATGCTGTGTGTGGCGATGACAAGCAGCCTGCTGCATCACACATGAGAGCCAGAGGACTCAGGAGGAGTTTTTGTGATGGGAACATTTTAAAAGAACACATTTCTGCTACTCTGTAATTGGTGGGAATTTACAAATTAGCTGCAAATTGAGAAGTGGGACCCCAACGAACTGCAAAGCAAGACTTGCCTCCAGGTTTATTCAATGTAGACAATGTGCTTACAGGAAACATTTAAAATAATGATAGTGTTGCACAGACTGCTAAAAGCCTATCTACACTGTCTTGCTTCACCTCCAGTATTCCTGAAACCATGGAATTCCTTGCTGCTAGCCTCTCCTTTTCCCAGGACATCTTGTGCAGGTTAGCGTTTCACAGGGAAGTCTCTCCTAGAGTCACTCTCCTGCTTTAAACACAGGATGAAGATCAAACTCCCTTGCATGGCATGCAGGGCCCTTTAAAAGCTTCCTCTTGTCACATTTCTACCCCCTCATGCCATGCAGCCCCACACCTTCCTGCTTCCTTCCCTCTCCTTGGGATACTGCCTGCTGTTCCCACTTCATTCAACTATCACACTCAGAAAATTCCAAGAGCAGATCAAACGGCATCATGTAGCAGTAGTTTGCTGTGACTCTTACACGTACCTCCCATTTCTCAGCTCTGTGTTCCCATAACATTCAATTCCCATCTCTGTAACAGCCCATTCCGCACAGATTACTGCCAGCCCCCTGCCATCCCAGCATGCTGTCTGGATCTCCAGAATGCTATTTCCTTCATCTCGGGTCTCAGTGCCTAGCACAAGGCTGATTCAGAGCATACGTGCAATCTAATAATGATGCTGACAACTGAAACGATAATGTTATAATAAATCTATCCACAGGTAACACTTACTGATTACCTATGATGCACCAGAATGGAACTAGGTATTTGATACATTCTATATAATTTCACCTTTGAACATCTCTGTGAAGGAGGCAGTGTTTTTTTCATTTTATAGATATTCTGAGATTTAAAACTGTTTAAATACTTTTCACAAGCTCTCAGTACTAATAGGTGGTGGAATGGAGATTTAAACTAGGTCTCTATGAAGCCAAAGTCAATGTTCTTGCAAATTCAATCTGCATGATACTCTGATTTGTTCTACATATATTATACATTTACTTAGTCTAATATTCTACATAAGTATGAAGCAAATTCTAGTGGCATAAAAACATTCATACTCTTAGTATTACAAAATAAAGGCCTCATGTTGACAATTAGCTCCATAATTTGCAATTTTAAGCTTCTCTGAAAGATTGCACATTAATATACCATAAGCTATTAGTAAACATGTTAGTCTTCAATATTTAGCCAACTATAGACAAAACTTCTTAATAAAACATTTCTTTAATTATTTTTAACTATTTTGGAGGATGAAGGGTGGTGAGCATGAAGAGCAGTTATAGTTGTTTCCTGGAAACATCCCATACTTGTAAGTTAAAAGGAAATTTGAATCTCACCTGTAAAGAACATAATATTAATACTTTACTGAAAGGCACTAATGATGTAGTGAATAAGCCTCGACTCAACATTCTGATGATAAATTTAGAATTATTTGTTCTTTTGACAAAAACTAATTTCTGTTTTCATTTCACTACTTTGCTCTGCCTAAAAAAGCCAACTTGTTACATTATCATATCAATAAAAAGGCCTTGATTGGATTACCACAGAGCAGGAATGCAGGAAACATGCCAACCTCTCTTAGTTGAGATGTGCTAGCAAGTATTAGCAAGGAGGAAGCAATATTTACATTTACAAAGGAAGTGGGTGGACAAAGGCGTTTACTGCTTAGTCTCTAGAAATCCTTCCTTTAATATTTGGCTTCTCCCAAGATAACAATTATTAAAGGCTCTGCAATAACATCCCCAGGCAACCAAATCCAACCACACTTTAACACTTCTCCCTCTCCCAAGAAATATATAAATCTAAGCAACACTTGCACACTTACTTTTTCAGTTTTTGTCGAATCTCTGAATCTTTAATCTCGTTTTGAAGATCCTCAAAATTTTCAACAGAAGTCAAATTGCAGAAAACTCTGAAGTCAGCATAGGGAGGGATCCCGTGGTCTCGCCCCCTTTGAATGTTGGTGGCAGCCAAATCCAGGGCCACAGAGTGGGCGGTGGAGAACAGCTTCTCAGTCAGCTCTAAACTGAGCAGTTGGGAGGGCACCCGCAGTTTAGCGGCCACACCAAATAGCCCCCGAAGGAGTGGATCTATCCCACCTTCCTCGATTATTCTGGAGGGTGAAAAGAAAGCTTTATGGAGTGGAAGGTGGCCTTCAGGGATTTCTCCGAAGGTGTCATTCAGTCGGTAAAGAATAGGATTGATTAACGTGTGACCAAATCTGAAGGCTGCAGTAGCAAAAGAGTTAATGATCCCTGCATTCACATTGGGGTTGTAGCCCTGGTAATCCCGCAGCATCTTCATGCCAGATTCCCCCAGAATCTTGGGCAGCCAGTGGCTGTAGGTGATGTGCTGCAACTGAGCACCCACAATCTTCCTGGCTTCATGATAAAGGGTGTCTCCATCCCAGTGGGGGTTCAGGGCAGACAGCTCCATGGCGACCCTGTTGTGTTCCCGAAACCACAAGGTGTGCATGGCTGTGAGGGCCAGCTGCTCATTGGCCCTGTGGTCCCCAGCCAGGAAACAGGGGCTGCGGCTACCCTGCTCCCACCCTGTGCACTCAGTGGGTGGGCCCGCAGAAAAGGGCAGTAAGGGCTTTCCGGACGGCACCCACGGCAAGCCTGTCCTCAGGAGTCCCCGAGGCTCTGAGTAGTCTCGGAGAACTTGGGATTCCCTCTCCGAGCTCCCATAGACATTAGAGGCATCTATATAGGCTGTGAGTTGGTTAATCTGTTCTCTCGCGTAGACTGAATTCATCACCAAGGAGGTCATGCCACTGCCACACACGGGGCTGGAGCGTGCAAAGAACATGCACGGTGCTCGGGTCCCTCGGGGGTCAGTGTCAGGAATGATGATGGGGAAGCAAGGAGGATCATTGGTACACACCGAGCTACACGGCCGCCCATCAGAGAAGCGAGACGTGCTCAATGCAGGCACTGTGTGGTCCAGATCGTGGTCTAAAAATTGGCCCCACTGCATGAGCATGTGTGTGTATCTATGGTCAGGGGTGACTGTGGCCGTGGCTGCCAGCTCTGTGGAGACCAGCCTGGGTGGTGGGAGGGGATACCGGCCTGACAGGGCCGGACGGCTGACCCCACGCGGCAGGTTGAAGCCGTTCTCGTAGGCAGGCTTCAGGATGCGCTCAAAGGCGGTCAGGGATGCACCCCACATGGGGTGCTGCAGGTTGTTGCACGTTCCGTCCTGGGCTCGGTACTTCTGATGGAAACACATGTCAGAGCAGTTGGGCACCTGCCTGTGGGCTGTACATCCAGATAAATTGGCTATGAGGCTGAGGTAGTGCGGGGACACCAAGTCATTGTAGCGGAACTCTGAAACACGGAACAGCAAGGGCAATGAAGAGAGCTGTCCTTGAGGTGGAGTGAGAGGGGGAACCTCAAGCCCAGGTGCCGTAAGGATGGGCCACTCTAGGCGGGCAGAAATCTTTCCTACATCCACCACATTTCATTAGGACAAAACCGAAAGTTTTAATTAAAAGGGGGGGTACTTAGTGATGCTTCTCTTACGAGCAATGACTGCTAGAACGAACAGAAAAGGAGAGAAATGTCCCAGTTTCCACCAAACTCCTAATTCTGTGACTTTACCAATATAATGTTGGTAAGGATTTGGTAAGTCCTCATCACAAGATTGTAATTTTTTTTTTTTCCCATTTCAGAATTCTTTCTTTCAGGTTTTATGCTCCTAGAAGACAGGGTCTAAAATGTGCTAGTGTGGTGGTGTGAATATTAACCTGCGTGATAGTTGATATGAACGGATTAAGCAGTTACTTGTAAACTACCACAAGCTGTCATCCCCCAGGGAATGTGCAATACAACCTGGAGGTGTTTTGGAGCCACTCTTTTAACAGAGCTTAAAATTGCAGCATAGTCCTAAATCTGCAGAAACTATTCACTAAGTCTTGCTTACTAAGAGTTATTATCCCCACTTAATCATCAGAAACTGGCTAATGATACCAGGACCATTTGTCCTTTATCTGTGTAAGCTGGTCTCTGTCTGGCTGGACCCTGAGATATCTTAATCTTGCATAAATACAATAATCTTTCTGTATATAAAGACATAGATCCTGGGTTCACTTTTAGGGCAAAATGATCCTGGAGGGAAAAAAAAAAAAATAAAGGCCTTTAACTTTACAAATAATAAAAGAGAGGTAGAACAACATAATGTTTTTTTCTTAAGAAAATTGTGTTAAAGTTCTTGAATATTTTAGATGAGAATATATACTCAGTTTGGTAATGAACACCAAAAACAATGGATGTATATTTTAGCAAAGTTAAATCTCTGTAGATATTGATTGCTTATTCTCTAGTTATGAATTTAGATTAAGTTATTATTGAAAATTGTTTCTTCCAATAGATATGTGTGAGAAGAGAACTCAAAGGCCCTTTGTCCTGACCTGGAGCTGGGCTTTTTGCAGACCTGACCACAGCTAACTCATCCCTGGTAAGACTCGGAATTAAACAGCCAGAAATTTGATTCAAGTGCTAATATGGACTATATGGAAATTTCACTTGGATATTTTAGTTAAGGAAACTCCAAAACCCAAGACATAATGGATCATTAGGAGCTATTAAATAGAGCTTTTTGAGTAATTGTATAGGGCACCTAATGGGTGAGCCACACACAGAAAGGGGCTTGTGCACTGTATCTTGGTTTCTTTTCTTTTTTTGGGGGGGGAGGGGGGTTATTTTCTGAAGGGGAGTAAAGAAAGGGTAAACCTCTAGAAGTTGCTGTTGTGCTCACAGAACAAATAGTGTATAGCAAAGGATCATATTTTTACTTCACTTTAAAGAGACTTAGAAAATCTGAAAGATTTCTAAATCATTCTCATTTGACATTTACTAAATAAATGTCTGGTTTTGGAAAAAGTACATGAGAACTTCAGTATAGCAACAACAACAAAAAAGATTTGGGAGGGATACATATGTTATAGGTAGAGTAAGGAATTCAAATAAATTCACTGAATGGTTTAGGTGATTCCAATAACAAGGAGAGGAACATTACCCTAGGACTAAAGCCTTTTTCATAGGAAAGAGTAATATCTTTTGGATTCAAAACGTCCACCTAAAATGGGCCCCCTAGATTTACTTGACGTAGATAGCTGCTAGAAGTTGACAAGTTTGAATATATATTTATCATCCTTTCTTTTGAATTATACTTCTTACGAGAAACATCTGCATTCATTTGGTGAAGTGGTAAATTAATTTCTATATCACATGGTGTTTTGGAGATTAAAAACTGAGGGGTGATCAGTTTTGCTACTGACAGTAGGCTGAGAACAGAATGCACCCCAGAAGCTGACCTCTGCCCTCCAAATCAACAGTGAGCCCCTGCTTCACGTGTTCCTGGATCAGCAGAAATGTGTGCTCAAAAATCTCTCCAGCTCTTGCTGTCTCCACAGTAAACGGGTCATACGGATAATGAAACTGAGCCAGCAGATCACTAGGGGTGCGAGGTTTCCTGCAAATGACAAAAGACATTACTGTTCACAAGGCAAAACTGCAGAATCCATGAATCTCACTGTGCATTTACGAATACATTTCCCAAACAATCAAGAAGAAAAGCTTCACCACCAGAAAATAAGCTTCACAGGGGGAGCTGAGAGTTCTTTTCCTACTTTATTAATGAGTGAAACCCAAATGCCAGTGACAGCGCTGAACTCAAAAGATATATTTTTAATGAATCAATGATTTAAAGAACAGTTTTCTATAAAAGGCAACATTTATGGTGAAAGTTATAAGCTTGTGGGGTCCACACATAGGTCTGAGGGGGCTCAGTAAACCCTCTGAAACAGTATGCAAGACACTCAGTTTCTGGACATTGGCACTGTCTTCTCTTTCCTCAAATGTAACTGCCTGGAAGATGCTGGAAATTCCCACTCACGTTTAAAACCCTGCTCAGGCATTGTTCTCCCCAGAAAGTCTCCCTGGTAACTCTGACAAACTACCACCTTCTCAATTACGTCTGTATGCTCACATACATCTATTACATACACAACAAGATGTACTTAAATTGTTGACATATTGTCTCTTCTGCTACAAAAAGACTGTGTCAGGGATGAGATGGTGCCTTATACATCTTTATATTCTATGTACCAAGCCTAGCAACCAGCATATGCATTGAGGAATTAAACTAATTAAGTTAAAAGAATATTAGTCACTGAGAATGTGAAACTATTTTAGAGATTTTGGTCAGCGAAGGCGTGTCTGGTCCTCTACATCAGAAATCGTAATAACTTTAGATCATAGAATAGTAATGATATTAATAGCTCATTTTAATTAAGCCCTTTCTATGTGGCAGACACTGTTGAGACACTATCTGTACTAACTTATTCAATCTTCCTAACAAGTATGTCCATGAAACAGATTCTATTGCTATCTCCATTTTACAGGCAAGAAGTGTGAGGTACTAAGATGCTTAGCTACTTGCCCAAGGTCACCCAGATAGGAAGTGATGAAGTGAGAAATCACTATAAGGATATAAATAAGCTATATGTCTCTAGAACACAAGTCCACGATCAGCGAGCCATGCTGTTGTGGGTATGCAAGAACAGAGCTATACTTGATTATGGCATTATAAGGTATTCCTTTTAGACCAACAGCTGCAAAGACTGGGTATATACTTTATTTGACTTTAAAGACAACAGTCATGTTTTCATTAATATGTTCAGGTGATGCAAAACTGCATCCTTTGTACCTCCATTAGGACTGATGGGGACTTTATAGAACCTGAAGGCTTCACTACTCTAAAGATGTTCTGGTTCAAATTAAAATAACCAAAGTACTACATATCCTAAACAAAACTTTCATCTGTGAGCTATCAGTTTATGACCAGATGTGTTCAACTTGACAATCACTCTCAATTCCTGGATTGGCAGGAGCACTGGGTCTGACCCTGGTGGATGCTGACCTAACAGAGCCCATTACCTGATACCTATCATGGGACCACATAGAGTGGATCTGTGATGTAAACTTATGCCATTTAGATTCTGTGGGGAGCAAGTTTCATTTTCTTTAAGACTGAGCTGGTAATGGTGGGTAGCCCAGAGGGTGATAACACATACACAGACTGAAGAAAACACCCACTTTTGGCAATCTTATGCACGATGCCTGCTGTGATTTATGGAGATTATAAAAACCAAGTAGGACTGAAGTGAAAACAATTTTGTAATCAAAATAAAATAAATTCTTACTGTGAAAACAAATGTCTTCGTGTGGAGTTAATTGCACTGTCAACCCTCTGTACAGCATCAAGAATGGATGATTCAACAAAGTCATCGCCAGCTTGTCTACCCTGTATTGCTTTGAAAATCAATTCCATGATTAAAAGTATCAAACAGACTTTGAAGTTAGGAATGATCTCATACAAATGGCATTACAGAAACTTCCAAGACAATAAAAATGTTATACAGTGTCCACATGATGCTGTCCATTGCAGAAGAGTAGGTAATTATCCTGAAGCAAAGTTTCCAGAAACAATAACAGTATTATTTAGGGAACTAAGGCATTCCAAAAATCTAGTAAAGCTATGTGAAATATTTCCTTTTTTTTACAACATTGATTCAAATGGGATTGAACTCTGTTAGTAATTTGTCATCTTCAGAAAGGTAAGAAATGCCTATCTTTTCAGCCACCTTGCTTTAATGTGAAACATTAAAATGAAGTAAATATCATCACATCCTTATGGAGATTTCTTAAAGCAAGAATTGAACTCTCAGTAAGATTTCAGTGAAAAATAACTCATGTTTTTTCTATAGCTCTTCGGTGTGTGAGAATTCTATCAAGTTGAATATTATAGACAAAGAAAGCTTTTCACTTAAAGTAGAGTCGATAATCTTCAACATATTTAATCTTCTCCAGATGATGGTTTAAGAAGTTTAAGGTAAAGAAAACAAAATGCTAATAAAAATGATCATGGATATTAAAAACTCACATAAGAAAAATAATTGAGCATATCCATATTATTTAGTTCATTTTTAAGAATATTAAAAGTATAAGAATTTATATGACATAATTAAAGCAATAACTTAATCTTAGCACTGTTGAATATTGGACACAAGAGTAAGTATAGTCCCAAAAATTGAATTTGAAAATAATGTCATTAAGGAGATATTAAAAAAATGAGAAGTTTAAATAAAAATAGGAAGGTGTGTGGATTACATATTATCACTTATATTATATATCATATATTATGTAATACAATATAATATTAAAATATTATATATGCATATTTATATGTAAATAAGTATATATGTTTATGTATTTTGCAAGATGAATGCAAATAGCATTCTACATCTGGTTGTTATAAAAAAATTCCTCTATATTATGACAATGTATACATACTAGATTGGTTCATTGTTCTAAAAAGATCACCAACATAAAAAATTGCAAGAAAAAATACCAGTAATACAGATATAAGAAAACCAGTAAAATCAAGGTCTCTGCCGAAAGACATTCTTGATAAACTAGATTATAGGCAGTAGTTATGAGTTAGAGGCTATACTGTCAATTCATTTCAGTCCTTATCATGACCACAATATTAAAGCTCCAGAAGGTCAGTTTTACCTTTTATACTTCAAAAATCACATTGGATTAACTATATAATAGCTAAAGATAATTGAAAGAAAACAAAGATAAATTGATTAATTTGATTACATTAAATTAATAATTTCCATTCAAGGAAAGACATAAATAAAAAAGGTAAAAATGTCGTTGACAAATAACATAATAGGTAACATATCTATAATTTCTAATCTGACACAGAATTAATATTCTATTTCATTCAAGGAATTCCTGTAATGCATTAAGACAAAATATATACAGGCAAGTTATAAAAGAGGAAACCCCAAAAGTTATTAAGTATATGACAGATTTTGAAAACCACTTAAAACCTCAGAAATAAAATATAAAATATCAATGAACTACCATTTTATGCTTATTCTGGCAAGAATAAAAAAGCTGATTACTGCCAAGTTTTGGCAGGGGTGAGTGGACATGGGTAGGCCGGTGGGAATGTAGAAGTGATGCTCCTATTTCCAAGATTTTGTTTAAGGATATGTATATTTTTTATTTTGATTTTACTTAGTAAAATGACATATGTGCACACCCCCTCACCCAGCAATCTGATTCCCACATATATATCTAGAGAAATATTCATGCAAATCCATCAGGGGTATAAATGAGAATGTTCATTGCAACTCTGTATGGAAGGAATTAAGGAAAATTGTCAGCAATGGAAGTGTAGGTGAGAAAAATGTGGTGGATGTACAGTATGAAATATCAGGCAGCAGTTAGAATTGGCTGGATGGACACATGCATGGATGCTAAAAAGAGTGCTTAATGTAAAAATTAGAAAGCTGAAAGAGAATCATAAAATGATTTAATTAAATATATAGTAAATGCACTATAGTTACATAACATAGTGAGCAAGATGGGAGTGGGGTATTGGCTTATAAGGGGATGGATTGATTAATCAACAAATCAAGCAGTCAATATAATTGCAATGATTATGAGCAAACCTAATATTTTCAATATACCTAACATGACATACCCTGTGATAGTTCAAAAACAAGTCAGTAAGAATGAGCCTACTGAATTTGGATATAAAGGAACCGAGATCAATCTAATCAATCTGTGCTGGCTTATAGGTTCACAAGATGTTAACCTTTTCTCTATTGTTCCCCTTTTAGTCCTTCACTTGTGAACTTCAAGTGTAGAGAGTGGCATCAATGATGTGTTCTTATTCATGACAATTACTGTTATTGGATCCCTGCACCTGTGTGCATAATATGCGATCAGAGGTCTATCAAAGGTTGTTTGTAGGACTGAGTTATCACACAGCAGACAATGCCAGCCAAAACTCAGAAGGCTGTTCACTGTGGCAGACAGAACTTGGAAGGGATATTTACATTTGGGGAAAGCATCAATTAACATGTTCATCTAAATTTTATTTGTTTGATAGTTTTGCTTTTATTCTGTTTATAAAATAGTTTTGCTATTATGGTTGTATAAAATTTACGAGCATAAGGAACTTTACACCTATTCTTCATCTTTTGACTCATTCATAAAGTGGAAATAGTAAGACTTGTTTAACATAGAGTTGAGGCAATATATAGTTGGGCCAAATATGATTATTAAATAAAAAAGGCATGCAAAGTTCTTTGAAAACAACATGTCACAATGCAAATATAAGGTGCCTTTCAGTGATTATTATGTTCTAAGCCCCTAAGTAATCCATATCCTCACATACTTATTGGTTGCCACTGTGTTGTCCTGTCATTTGTTCAACTTGACCTGTTTTTTTTCTTTGTTATTAAGAAACCAACAAGTGTGGAGATGTGAAAAGGAAAGGAAAATAACAAGAAAGGTGGCATAATATGTAAACATTGTTTGAAATAATTAAATTTTGATGTGCACAAAGAGAAAACACATAAAAGTTGTTTGTTCACAGATTATTAAAAGTGCATTAAATATGTAGTATGTTCACACAGAAAATATTTGTGGTAACAAGAACTCTTTCTCACTTATGTCATTTCAATTATGAATTTTTTAAGGTTCATAGTTTTATGATAAAATAAAGCTAACCTTTTTATTATTCATTCGGTCTCAGTAATGTTTTAGTTGGTGTGGTACAAATTGCAAAAAGATTTCCACAAATGTTTCTAGAAGAGCACTGTATTATGCAAAGCAAATTCAGTTTATTGGGGCACATTAGAATCAAACAGCACTGTTAATATTTTATTTGTCTTAAAAACTACCTCAATAATGTAGGGATAGAATGATCCTGAGTATATTCTCCATTTTTTATGCAAAATTTTGCAGAAGGGGAGGGAGAACTAGATCATTTTCTTTTGTTAAGTCTTGGGGTTAAAAAAAAAAGGAGAAAAAGCCTCAGTAGGGTTATGAAATTAAGCATGTTTAAAGTCGACTGATGAACATCGCCTTTCAGTTCTGTCTATGTATCTATAAGATCTACCACCTCCAAGGAAGATAAAGTCAAAAGATAAATTTGAGTCCTTTCAGGAAGGTGTTGCTTAGGTGTAATGGTCCACCAACTGCTGTGTGCCCACTCGGTCAGAGTACGACCCAGATGGGGGAGAATAGGAGTCAGGGAGGAGTAGGATGGAGCCCCAAAAGAGACATTGATGCAGAACACCTGAACCCCTGCCATCACTTCTCACCACAAAATACCTAGACCTCAGTAAAAACCGAGTTTCTTTCACAACTGAGTATTCTTTATCTCCCCCTCCCTCCTTGAGAAAAGTAACCAGATAATGTCACTGTCATTAACTAAACAGGCCTTACCACATGAAATCTTCCCCTAAGAGAATGACCGACCACCACTGACGCCGCCCGAGAGGGCTGTCCTAGGAAACCGGACACTCCCACAGCATACAAATGGGAATTAACGACTGCCTTTGTGAGATAATTTTCTTTGAACAGCAACCACTCTGCCTTACTCATCATTTTGCATCATTAGGTATGTAAATGGGTTCACTGTCTTGCAAGCTCCACCGTTTTTTTTCCGGAGACTGAAAAGGTGAGACGCTACTTTTTTTTTTGGCTTTAATCATTGAGATAAGCCTTTTATTTTGATTATTTGCTTTCCTTATAGTTTCATGACTAATCAAACACTACTGTACTAAAAATCTGTTCTTAAAGTTTAATGCTAATTTTTTTGAAACACGGATATCTCAGGCTTATCTCAGGATAGACATATGTGTTCAGTATAGATTTTATGTATAAATGGATGGGAAATGTATTCAATATGGTTAAAGGTATTATAAACATATGTATATGTATATTAGGTATATGCTGTTGTTTATAGATATATTTCACCATTCATTGTATTTAAGTTTGCCGAGGTAAACAAGGTTGTCATGTATCTATTAATTACTATGTAAATTAATTTATATCATATTCACAGTAAATAAACAAATATAGTAAAATAGCAATTGAAAATGATTCAGTATAATTTCATTTCATTGACATATTTGAGTAAACACAATTAAAATTTTCTGATACTTCATAGTTCACTCATTGGGCAACAACTGCAGTGGTGTTTGTCTAGACAATGACAACTGGATTAGAATGTCAAAAAATCAGTGAGTTATTCATTCAGAATTTCAAAAAAATAACTAGATCCTAAAAGAATCAAATAAGTTAATTGATAAATAACACTTGGAACACACGGTAAATGCCCAATAAATGCTAATTTTTTTAGTAGTAATATTAGTATTAGTTTAATACAGGTCATTTACTTAATGTAATAGGAAAAGTCTCATTAACTTAAAGTCAACTAATGTAACCTTAATTCTCATTTATAATTTATCAGGTTGAGGATATAGTCAAAGTAAAGAATATTGTAA